TCTTATGATCTTTCCATTAACCCCTTGATGCTCCTCAGTCCAGTCGACCACGTCAGCTCCTTCTTTCTTCTTCAGAAAACAACCAGATTCAGTTATTAACAATTCACAGAGTCCAGGAAAAGGCAAAGAGAAATATGTCCCAGCCAAACTGCATTCACGAAACTCAAGTCTCTTAAATCCTGTCCGATGGCATTAGAACCATCTGGGATTCTTTTCAAGAAACATAAGATTTATTTTTCCGTCTTACTCTCTCAGCTTTGAAATCAGCCTGCTATATTAAGAGTTCACTTGGGGAGGAAAGTTAGTTTTGCTTTTGAGGCAGACTGATAAGATAGGCTCGCCGCTGCTTTTCTTCTTTCAGCCAAATATTTTCATTTTTATTTTCACCTTAATGGGGCTGTTTTATAAATCAAAAGCTTCAGCTTACTTAGTCGTTATATATTTTAAGCTTATATTGGTTGTTCTCCTCTCCCTGATAAGGGGTTATTCACGGCTGCGTGCTAAATATGGCGTCCACCTTGATCCGTGCTGGGTGATTTCTTCAGAGGGAAGAAGTCCGGGTTTGCATCCCTTTCTTCTCCTTCTGCTGCTCACCATCTGCTTTAGAGAGACTTCTCCTAGACTCTCCTTCGATCCCCATTTCAAAAAGGGGATCCCGGACTGGACGGTTCCAGTTTTTCCAGAGAGAGCTCTTCTCTGGAGCTACTGGCAGCACCGCAACAAAGCCCCGCCTCGTGTTTTGTTTACATTTCATAAGCTCCAGCTCCACCTCAACAACAAAAATAGCTTTAAGAACTCATAACATCTCATCTTCTTCTCCACACCACCAACCTTTGCAGCCTTGCATGCAGTCTGCATATCATGTTTGTTTCATATTAAGTGAAAATCTAGCATATGGAACACCTAGCATGTTAAAAATCTGATAGCTGGAACCCTATTCATGTTTTCATAACTTGTCAGTGCTAATTGAGGCTAACTGAGGTAATGACACAGATAACCAACCACATGACTGAGACCTCAATTAGTTGCAAGTAGCCACAGCAAGTTATGCAAATCTTGCCTACCATTACCCCACCTTTCTCTTTGAAAAGGACCCAAGGTGGCTTACAACAATGAAAGATAATATTTAAAATTGAAAACAACGAGTATACAACGGTGGTTAACATTGTTAAAAGACAATATTTAAAACTACGAACAATGAATAAGGAGGCATCTCATACCATTAACAGCCAATATTAAGGCAAAGATCAATAAGTATACAAAAATTTTAAAAATGTCACACTGACAAATGGAAAACATGAGTAGTAGTAAAAATCCAGTCAAAGTAGTAATGCATAACTATCTAAAAATCACACACTGAGGAGAGACTTGCACAAAGAAAAAGGTCTTTGCCCGCATGTGGAAGGATATCAAAGATGGGGCCAGTCTGGTCTCCTGTGGGAGGGAGTTCCAAAGTCTGGGTACAGCAACAGAGAAAGTTCTCTCCTGTGTCCCCCATCAGACACACCTGTGAAGGTGGTGGGACTGAGAGAAAAATCTCTCCTATTATCTTAATACTCGAGCTGGTTCATAATGGGAGATACAGTCTTTGAGCTAGCTTGAACTCAGGCCATTTAGGGCTTTAAATTGTGCCTGGTAACTGATCAGCAGCCAGTGGAGCTGCTGTAGCAAGGGGGTTATGTGATCCCTGTAACCAACCCCAGTCAGCAATCTGGCTGCTACCTTTTGGACCCTTTGAAATTTCCTGATACTTTCCATCGGCACCCCACATAGAGCCCATTACAGTAATCCAGACAGGAAGTTACTAGGGTGTGTATCACAGTGGGCAGATTAGATCTGGCACACATGTTTTAATTGTGCAAATGCACTCCTGACCACCCCCGATACCTGGGCATCCAGGTTCAGGGATGAATCCAGGAACACCCTAAACTGCGCACCAATTTTTTCAATGGGAGTGTAATCCCATCCAGTACTGGCTGCATCTCTGTTCCTTGATCTGCCCTTCAACTGACCAGGAGCACCTCTGTCTTGTCTGGATTAAGTTTCAATTTGTTCACCCTCATCCAGTCCATATTGATACACTAATCTAGAGCCAAAATAGCTTCCTCAGATTTAGGTGGCAAGGAGAGGTGTCATCCGTATACTGGGGACGCCAAACCCCCAAACTCTGGATAATCCCTTCCAGCAATTTCATGTTGATGTCAAATAATATAGGAGACAAATCAGAACCCTGAGGGACTCCACAGGTCAGTGGCCAGGATTTTGAACACCCCCAGGACCACCTTCTGAGTTCTCTTCTCGAGGAAGGACTGGAGCCACTGTATAACAGTGAACACCAATAGCATTCTGGTTGATGTTCACATGAAGAGGCAGTCCGGTCTCTCATTTTCTCACCTCATTGATTCCTCACTTTGTAAACATCTGATGAGATGTATTCCAAGAGGTCTGAGGACTGATAACAGCCAAATGTGTTCCCATCAGAGAGGACTAACTCTAGAGTATACACATGAAATACGTTACATAGGGATGTAAACATGGATTTTGCATTCCAGTCCAATGTTCTTCACATTGGGCTGGAATTCTTCATTCAAGGAAGTTTTGTCAGAATGAATCCTGAAATGCACAAATGACATACCTTTAAATATAGTTTCTCAGAAGTAAATTGATTGTATCTCCAAATAAATAATTTTAAAACTATATCACAAAATAACTCATTTCAGGATGGGAGTTTGGAATTTCTTCATGCCATGAAATGTGTAAGATTTTAAAACTAACCTGAATGTAAGAATATACTGGATTAGGAGCATAAGAAAGAAATTGCTGGTGTTAGACCAATGGACCATATATTCTTGTATTCTGTTAAACACATGATATACCAGATGCCTCTGTGAATCTTGCAAGTAACTGTGAAGGTATCCTTCCTTAAGCATCCAACAATTGATAGATCTATCCTCTAGGAATAGAGCATAGTCATTATCCTCTGAACTAGTGTCCCTATCTTTTGTGGAGTTCTGTAAACATATTACCTCCCTTGTAACTGGAAAAAAGTAGCCTTCATATGTATGCTTCTCCATCATTCTTCTAACGACACATGTGTTTGCTCATTTTTTGTGTGTTTTATAGAGAGTAGTGGTCTCTGGATTTTTCTGTGTTCCTCCTTAAGGCCTGCTTGGTGAGGAAGACGTAGCAGGTCTGAGCTAAAGAGAGACCTCAGCAGGAGTCAGTAATCCATTTGCTGCTTAGTGCTCAGGGAAAAGTTTGGTGACGAATTACAAAGGTGGCAGCATGTCTGCCAATAACCTAACCAGAAAAGTTGCCAATGAAATTACGTACTTATTATCTGAACATTCCATTTTGGGAGAAAAAAAAATCATACAGGCTGCAGAGGGTAGCCTGACATTACAGTGCAGGATTTTTAAATCTTACCTCGAGGCAAATCTCATACTTACCAGCAAAAATGAAAGAGCGAAATGCTTTATAATGTATATTTAACAACTGATAGTCTGGTGAGCATCCTCCCTGGACTTTTTTGCCTTGCTATCAAAAGACAGTGTTAAGATACATATTTTTACACATTTATGTTATCTGCAGCTATCAAATGTTTACTTTTTAAAATGTTTGCAACTGTGACAGAAAGCCACTGTTTTTTTTTAAAAAAAAACCATAATAAAATTCAGATTGCAAATTAACTCTCAATGGTTTGTAAAGCAGCAAATCCATGAATCAAAACAGGGGGGTTTGCCAAATTTGCTTGATTTGAGTTGGTTAAAAATTTAAATTTAAAAAGAAGCAATTTTTTCTTAGTATTTAATGTTATCTTTATAAATTCAGTCAGTTACAATGGCTATCCATTCATTTAGCCTTTAGAAAATTACAATTGGATTAAATCTGTGGATTATCTGAAATGTATAGGTGGAGATTGTATTTTATTATTTTGGAGTGCTAAATGTGTTTATTTAAATATTTCCTGTAGTAGTATTCTAATAAGGATTAAGGTGCAGTTGTCTGCACTGGCAACGGCAGTGCACAGCAAGTCCTTCTCTCTCATTCTAATGAATGTTAAGTAGTTGCACAGTACATAGATCTTTGTTGTTAAAATGGCTTTGTTGAAGATATTTTAGATCACAAGGGCCTGGTGGTCTACGTTTTTGTTTGCTTTGACATTACCAAACCACTCTGTTTCTTTAACTATTACTCTAATTATAGCATTTGCATGATAGAGTAACGTTTGCTCAGTGTGTGGACTTCTATCAACAGTGTTTGCATGTAATATTCTTAGCTTAGCTTTTGATGAGCAGTTAGCTCAGCACTTTCGATCGAAGTCAATAATTATGCAGAATCAATAAGGTTCTCTTCTTTTGTGTTTGTCTTTGTTGTTTCTTTGATATGGCCTCTAGGATGCTGCAGGCAAAGTGCTGGACCGCTGGGCCATCATGTCCAGGGAAGAAGAGATCATTACCCTTCAGCAGTTTCTCAGGTTTGGAGAAACCAAATCCATTGTGGAGCTAATGGCAATTCAAGAAAAAGAGGGGCAGGCAGTGGCTGTGCCATCTTCAAAGACAGACTCAGATATAAGGACTTTTATTGAAAGCAATAATCGAACCAGGAGCCCCAGTCTCCTTGCTCACCTGGAGAATAGTAACCCTTCCAGCATTCACCATTTTGAAAACATCCCCAACAGCCTAGCATTCCTTCTTCCATTTCAGTACATAAATCCAGTTTCTGCTCCTCTGCTGGGCCTGCCTCCAAATGGTCTCCTCCTGGAACAGCCAGCACTGAGGTTGCGGGAACCAAGCCTTTCAACCCAGAATGAATATAATGAAAGCAGCGAATCTGAGGTTTCCCCAGCACCCTTCAAGAACGAACAGGCATCCAGCCGAAATGCCTTGACCAGTATCACAAATGTAGAGCCCAAAACTGAGCCAGCTTCCGTGTCCCCCGTTCAGACATCTACTCCTGTCAACGATCTCTCCAAATCTGAACATACCAAAAGTTCTTTCAGAATTCACAGAATGAGGAGGATGGGATCAGCATCACGGAAAGGGAGAGTCTTTTGCAATGCGTGTGGCAAAACCTTTTATGACAAAGGGACACTTAAAATCCACTACAATGCTGTCCATCTGAAGATTAAACATAGATGCACTATTGAAGGTTGTAATATGGTCTTCAGCTCACTTAGAAGTCGCAACCGTCACAGTGCTAACCCCAACCCCCGGCTTCATATGCCCATGCTGAGGAACAATCGAGACAAGGATCTGATCCGTGCCACATCAGGTGCTGCAACCCCTGTTATAGCAAGTACAAAATCCAACCTAACATTAACGAGTCCTGGACGACCTCCAATGGGTTTTACCACTCCCCCACTAGATCCTGTGCTGCAAAATCCTCTGCCTAGCCAACTTGTATTCCCAGCTTTAAAGACCGTACAGCCTGTTCCTCCTTTTTATAGAAGTTTACTTACGTCTGGTGAGATGGTGAGTCCTCCAACCTCATTACCTACTAGTCCCTTGATGCCAGCAACTGGTACAGTAGAGCAGCCTCCTCTTCCTCCTTCAGAATTGGCATTACCTGCAGTAATGATGCCTGCCCAAGAAGTGAATGCTGACCTTGCCCCTAAGAAGAAACCAAGAAAATCGAGCATGCCTGTGAAAATAGAAAAAGAAGTCATTGATACAGCTGATGAGTTTGATGATGAAGATGAGGAGGTTAATGATAACAGAAGTGTGGCCAATGATGGAAGCCATGATAATCATTGCCATTCTCAGGAAGAGATGAGCCCTGGGTTGTCTGTGAAAGACTTCTCAAAAAATGGGAGAAACAGGTGCATCTCAAGGACAGAGTTAAGAAGGGCAGATAGTATGACATCAGAAGACCAAGACCATGAAAGGGACTATGAAAATGAGTCAGAATTCTCAGAGCCAAAACTGTGTGAGGAATCAATGGAAGGGGATGAACATACAATGCATGAAAGAAGCAACTCTATGATGAATCATGACCGGCCTGATGAAAACCACAATGATGTTGTCCACCACAATGAAGTTAAGGTTAAGGAGGAATTTGCGGACCCTACATATGAGATGTTTTACATGAACCAATATGGACTGTACAATGGAGGCAGTGCCAGTATGGCTGCTCTCCATGAAAGCTTCACTTCATCCTTCAGCTATAATAGCCCTCAGAAATTCTCCCCTGAGGGTGATTTGTGTTCAAGCCCAGACCCCAAGATCTGCTACGTGTGCAAGAAGAGTTTCAAGAGTTCCTATAGTGTGAAGCTCCACTATAGGAATGTTCATTTAAAGGAGATGCATGTCTGCACAGTAGCTGGCTGCAACGCTGCCTTTCCCTCACGAAGAAGCAGAGACAGGTCAGTCAATATGGTATTTATTGATATATTTTTGTCACTTTTGTTTTAAATCATTGAAGCCAACTAAGCATAATTCTGTGTAAAATAGGGTAAACTAGCATGTACAGATGGCATCCATATTCCCATGCTACTCTCTATTCACTTTTTTGGTTTCCATTTGTCCTCATATCCAGAAGAGTATACAAACATTGTGCCGTTTCCTTTTGTAAAGATAATGGATTTATTGGAACTAGAGTTGAAAACTGATTTTATTAGTACATCAAAGTGTTTTTGGTATGCTTACAGACTATATATTGGGACGTTCCTTACATTTCTGTGTACCAGCATTCACTGTCTTGTATCATATGTCGAGATGGAGGTATTCGTATATGAATCCGAATACCCCTGCACAGATGGACATAACGAGGGTTCAGCCCCCTGTGGCCGGACCATCCACTAACAGCGGAATCCCTTCCTATTGCTCTTTTGCTCTGGACTTGCATGGTCTGCAATCCACTCCTGGCTGGAGGCAGGAGGAGGAGCCTTGCTGCAAGGTTGAAGAGTGGCTCACAGACCAGGTGCTCCAGAGCGATAGGAAGGAAGCGCAGAGCCCATGGCGACAGCGGAAGGTGAGTGGACCCTTGTTATGTCCACCTGTGTGGGGGTATTCGTATACCAATATGAATACCCCCTACTATATCATTTTAGATATCTGAAGTCCATCCATATACTATTGTGTCATCTAAATAATAAATGTACAATATCGAAAATTTTCCATATAGATTGTCACATCTGTTACATTCAGTTTCTTCTTTACCAAGTCAAGAAAAGCTCTAATTTAAAAAGAAGATGGGGGAAAAAGCTCTTTTCAAATGTATTCTAAAACACATGAGCCCACTGATGATATTTTACAGCATTATATGGGGATCCTATTAAGTGTCCCATTAATGCTAGACATGCACAGTAATAATGATGAAATGCACCACTGGAGACCAAGATAATCTCTGACAGGCTGCTGTCATTGCCCAGGAGACACCTGAATGTGCTCATGGTCCTCACATTCTTCAGGAAGGCTCCCTCCACATCCTCCTCTTTTTAAATTGAGAGTGTTCCTTCTGATGATAGCACAATGCACTCATGTTACATCATTTCTGAAATAGTGTCATTTAACAGAAGCAGCTGGCCCTACACATTTTAGCTATGTGTGCTTTTAACAGATTCCTTTCTTATCCTCATTTCTACAAAAAAAGAGTAAATGATATTTGCAAAAGTTGGTCATTAATAGGTGAATAATTTATTTTGTATTTGTGGATGTAAGCACATACTTGCACATAGCATATCCTGTAGAAATGCTTTAATGTGATAACAAGATTGGAGCTATGTATGAAAATAGATGCATTTAAGAAATATCAGTTCCTACTTAATCCATTGACACCTACATACTAAATTCCAAAACGAAGAAAATAAGCAATCTATTGGGCCATGGTCAGTTACTGTAACTGGCTCACTTACATTGAGCCCCAGGAGGCCTTGGAGTATCTGTTCTTAGATGACAGATATTATTAAGCAGAAATCAGCAAATAAATCAAATGAAAGCCAAACACCTAAATCTGATCCACCTCAAACTGATTAAGTGGAACTATGGACTTGTGTGGTGTGCATCAAACAAAATACAGTGTTTTGTTTGATGCACACCACAGAATTTTGTAGTGTATACCTAAACCATAAATTGTACATACAACACAGAGGTCTTTCAGAATGTGAATATTGTTAAGGAAGTGTTTATCAGGGACATAACATCATTATAACCCTTTGTTAAAGTTATCTTTATCCATGTCTCAGTGATTACTTAAGCAGGTGTATAAGTCTTTTTGAATGAGTTGTGATGAACTTTCAACTTACATGTTGTCCCTCTTCCTTTGTGCACAAGAGGAGAAAAGTCAATGCTTCCGTTTTCTTGTTAGAATAAATCATAGTTATCCATGTTACATAAAGACAGAGGGAACCATTTTTTCCTTGTAGCCAAAGTTATTTATCAAACTGATTTGACCCTGGTCTCCTTTAATTAACTGTTCTTAGAACACCCCACTGTTCCCAAATGTGCATTTAAGAAGAGGGAGTAGGGAAAAAGTAGATCTGAATCTTGCTGCAACTTACTCTTAATCGTTTATGCTGTTGCTTACATCACTAACATGATCATTTGAACTGGGCCTTTATAGAAAAGTGGGGTCATTTTTTCATGTGTGAAGTGTCCTTTTCTTTGACACTAATAGTACAATGCTAAGTGTAGCTGGGATCCCAAGAACTAGTTCCAACAGGAGAATGAGCATTAAAGCTTTAGAAAAAGCTCAGATTTTCTAAAGCAGTTTGTGATGCGAGTAAAATACTCATTTCACTAGTTCAGATTCCTTGAACAAAGCCATTCTTTGGTTATCAAAATACACTTGGAAGTAAGCTTCATTGAATCCAAATGAGACTTACTTCTAGGCAAGTTCACTTAACTTTGCAAACTTACTTTTATTGACATCAGATGCATTAACTAGGTTTAATGCTACTTTGGCTTATGTGGGTTGCAAATCTCATTGTATGGACAGTGCAAACCTGCTGTCCAGTAATCTGCCTTCCAGTATTTTTGGAAGCTCAGTTTGGTTCTGTGGGAAAGATTCATGTTAACAAGTTGTACTGTAGTACTAGGCTCTCCCTTATATACTGTGCAGATTTACATAAACATTTCCCTATTTCATTTTCTGGGGGAAAACTGCAAAGCCTGTAGTGGTATTGTTTAGCTGTAGTGTATTTTCAAACAGAGGAAATTTGCTGGATGGGTGTTTTACACAGATATGTGTGTGCTTGAGTTTGGGTGTATCCATATATGTGTCCATGTCTACAAACTGTCCTTCTGGCAAGGTTCTTCTATTTGAAAGTATATTTCAAATGAAACAGTAGCACTGTGGATAATAAATTGAATCAGATAACAATGTTTGGTGGCCATTATAGAGCATCATTGTGGAGTTTATAGCTTGACAGTTTATGAAATGTTATTGATCAACATAAAGATCACAGCTGTGTTGATAAAACATCAACGTAATTAAGTTAAGTTGGAATGTTTACCATAATTTATATCTAGTTTGTACTAGACTAAATCCACTGTTCTGCTGAAAGGACATCCAGATCTTTCTTTCCCTCCCACCCCAATGCAATCCCCCTAAGGTCCAGAAGCTTTCTCCACCCTTCCAAAGCAGGGTTTGAGAAAGGATGGCTTCACTGCTCCTAGTTCCAAAGGATTCTGTTGTTCTGTCAACAATATTACACCCTGCCCGGTATCTCTTCCTCAGACTTAGCACAAAATACACAGGGAGTTTGTTTTCTTAATTCTTTTCTTTGCAAGTAGGCTTGATTTCCAAAAAGTACAGCTGTTCTGTATGCATGCTGTTCATGTGGTGTCCTGAAAAATCTCAAGAATGGTTTAGGGTTTTGACATGCACCCTATGAATTATACATGTTGTATGATGCCCTAGATTTCTATTGTCTGCATAATTTTACCACAGAACCCACAAAAATAGAGTTGGATTGCAAAAGTGCCAGTAACTTTTGCAGACACTTAAATAGGCAGTAACTGGAGTACCCCTTTTTTGTACTCACTGTTTAAATACCCAGACCTAATTCTGACTGAGAGGTCAAAGAAATAAAGAAATGAAAGCCAAAATGAATGTTAAGTAGGAAGGATAATTAGATAGTGGTTTTGCAGTTCCTTACAATCTCACATTTTCTGAAATTACTCCAGTACCAATGTACAGATGCATTTCAGAATGAGACCTAATTTTTATTGTTAGTCGTTTATACTTTACACCAGACATTATCTCTAGATAGAAAGGTGAGCATTTAAGTTAAAATCGCAGCCCTGTGAGCTTTTCTGTAATTTAACATTTTCTTGTTGACCTTCGTAGAGATTGCTTCTTAAATGAAATCTTACAAAGAAAGCCTATTACATGTCTAGTCCTTCAAGTAGGGAAGAAGACCTTGAATATGTAAACCAGTGTATAGTGCCTTATTGACTCCACTGCCAAATAAATGGAGTAATAATACAGGAAGGAGAACCTATTTCAGTCACCTTAATGGGCTGTTAAGTTTAGAACCCAATTATGGTCATTTCAGCACTAATTGCTGTACCAGAAATGTGAAACATCCAACCAAATGCATACATGAAGAATGTCACATTTTAACATTGTATTTAAACCTCTGTTTGATTGAGCACCACTGTAAAAATAATAGTGTTTTTTTTTCTTTTTAACTATTTGGATAAATGCACAGATCTATGAACTAAAACTACTCTTCTGTCCCAGTAGCTGTAATACGCAAAGAAGAAATATAAAAGTTCTTCCTCTAACTAATATTTATGGCTGAAGAACTTTGCAAACCAATCTAAAAAAATTAAGTATTTGTACAAGATACACACAAAAAAACTTTAGCATTTATATACTGATAAACCCTTCATTTGGAATATTTTGTTTTTTACAGTAAAATCTAGTTCATTTGGAATTGCTCATTGCTCAATTAATATAAGAGGTCAGTAGTACACTGCTTCATTTAATTCAGAGCTGGGGAGCATATGGCCCTCTGGAGGCTGGGTGGACTCCCCTTCTTATCAGCCCTAATCACTGTGACCAGCGATGACAGACAATAGGAACATTTGGAGGACCATAGATTTCCCAGTTCTGTTTTAATCTCTTTCTTCCCAAGTTTGATAAATAATCACATTGATGGAGTTATGGAGGGGCACAAGTGGCAAAGACAACAAATCAAGATTATAGGAAGCTTTTGAGAAAAATGAATGGAAAAATCTGGAAAGGTAACTATTTGTGATCATTTGGAGAATGCTGATTATACAGTCTTAGGAAGAAACAACTGAAAAGGAAAAGTCACACAATTTGAGACTGCTGAGACAGAAACAAATAAAATCACTGCCTTGTTGTAGTTTTATAATTGTTGGCCTTTCAAGCTCCAGCTGACATATTCTTTGG